GGTTCGAAACTTCAGGGACAACTTGTACGTTTAAGTTTTTTAGATAATAAAATTGACTGTCTTATTGAATTTTATGAGCATTTTGATGTACTTCTTAAATCATCTCGTCAAAAATACAAAAGAGAAAAATAATGATAAAATGTCTGTAATGTGCAATCAAATGCACACGTCTAGTCATTTGAAAAAAGTCATTTATTAGCTTCTAAAATAATAAAAAAAATTAATTAAATAATTATATCGATTAAGCGACTTTTGGGCCGCCATTTATTTACTTAACCACCTACCAACGACGGCCATTTTTTCAGGAAAGTTTCTTTTTCAAACGTACAAAATAACCTCCAAAGAACGTTCAACTTTATATTTCTATCATTGGCCATTATTTAAAGGTTTGATTATAGTAGGATTGTTTAATTTCTTTTATGTAATGGAGGCCAAAGAGTAGTGAATGGCACGGGCCTTCCTCGATCTCTAAGAGGCCTCGTATATAAAATAAATAATATCTTACGTAAAGACGTGTCAAAGAATGTGAAATATTTTATTTTTTTTTCTCTAAAGATTTAATTGTACATTTATCTTCTATCAACAAGTATTCGTCAATTAAGATCGTTACGAAAATACGTGCATTCATAAACCCTGTTCGATGACCCAGAGATCATTAATCACCCTTTACGTCGTGAGCATAATTTGACTGTACTTTTATTACGAGAGTAACTTTTCTATATCAGAATCACTGAGATAAAAAATTATCCCATAATATCTATATGATAAACAACCTCAATATCATAGCCTGATATCTACTATTTATCTTCTTCTAGGAGCATATTTAATATGATTTTTACTAAATTATAAGAGTTAGGATGATAAGAATTAATGGATATAATAATATTAATAAATAAATCGTCTAGTAAACTCAGATTTATAGATGTTAATGCCAAATGTAAGAAACTTTACTGTATAGTTTGAAGCATGCTTAATAGATATCAGCATTATAGTATTGATCGTGGTATTATTAATCTTATTAATTAATATATCCTGTACGTTATTGATATACAGTTTAATAATATACAGAATAGTCTTATTAATGACTACATAATAAATTTTCTAAGTTCGTATGAAAAAATATGTATGAAATTATAAACTTTTAACTGTATTAAAATTGCTGCTGCATATCATAACTTTCATAATTAATAAAGTTAAATTACATTACTTTATAACTAATTTGGCTTTATCAGAAGATAATTAGGTAAATGTTGTAATAAAACACAATTTAAATTTAAAATTTTTTAAAATATTCCATTTATAGTTACTACAGAGACATTAGATATTTCTCTCTCTCTCTCTGTGTGTGATAATTGCAAGGCATATGATACAGGCAAAGACACTTCAACAGTACAGATACTTCAGAAGAATTTTAAACTTTATACAGTTATTTTACTAAATTAGCAAAAAAATTATAGATAATTTGGCAAATTTTTAAGTTAAAATAGTTAATTATACACACCACAACATATTTAATATTATCTTAATTGTAAAAGGGTGGAAAACATAAAATTAACTTACTTCTTTGTATCATCGTCTCAAGCTTATAAAATACATTAAACTAATCACATCCTACAATAAAAAATATTTAATTAATTTTTTATAATAAATAATTTAAATTTAATCATTAATTTTCTGTATAAAGATCAAAGTTTTCAAATTTGTCAATAGTCGAAATTAAGGCGCTGTATTTCAACAAAAATTGAAATTCTAAGAAAGAAAATCTATTTTAACAAACGGAAATTATAAACTAGAAAAAGAAGAATTTAAATTTTCCTATAAAAAAACGAAATTCAAAAATCCACGTCAAATTTAAATCTTAAAGCGAACAGTTCAGAAGATTGATTGCGAAGAAGACCTAAGAGGGTGGAAAGAAATATACTAAAAAATATATATATATATAAAAATACACGCACGAGGGAAAAAATTATATATAAAAAACTATTTAAAAAATACAATAAGATTTATAACCCTGTCATTCTGAAATCCAAATTGTCAGTTTAATAATAGACAGTTTATGGTCAGTGTATTCATTTCGGTATCAGCTTAATAACATCATCTCTCTTTATCACGTTATTAACTCGAGTTACGGTATCAAAAGTCTGGAAAAAATTACGATTTTTTAAATATTTTTTTAAAATAAAGATCGTGTGTATAGAGACGTGTAAGTACCATAACGATATTGATGCAATTGGTGAAGTGTCACGTTATCACCTTTGACAACTTGACTAATCGGAAAATGAGAGGAGTGATGAGATTCTAAATTGTACTAAACTACCATTTAACGAGTTGATTTCATGCATTATAACATCATTAAAATTTACTGAAAATTTGGTATTTAATGGAGTAAATTGTCGTATAGTCGATCTATGTGTAATTGGGATGCACAAGAGTTTAGTGCTATGGAAGACATTCTCTTCTTGAACTTCTCGATTGATACGATTAAAAGCTATCTGAAGAAAATACCAAATACCAATTGAAACATTTTATAACATAGTTTACTTAAAATTTATAAGGAAATAAAACTTATTTTAGTTTACAAAACAACAATATAATCTTAATAAATCATTAAAAGAAAAAAAAAGTTATAAATGAATTTTTTTTTGTTAGATTTGAAGAAAAATTCTGATTTTTCTATCATAAAAATTCTATTTTGACTTTTATTAAATGAGCAACTTTCAAAATTGATTTCGAGTAAAGCAAATGAAATTTTCCTTGTCTTCACCTCGAAATAATATTGAAGATTGATGTAATGGAAAGAAAAAGTTTTCAACTTGCTTTTTCAAGGTTATTCATAATTCAATTTATAAGATAGTATGATTCTTTTTACCTTTCTTATTACATTTTATAAGAAAATTCTTATTGGATTATCGTCAGCTTCGAAATATAATAAAAAAAATTAATTATTTAATTATATATTGTATCCATTTGGAAATAAAAGTTACGCTTATTCTTCTCTATACGAAATTCCTTAACCTTTGTTTTCAGTTTTTAACTTAATAAATATAAATTAAATTGTCCTATAACATTTTTAAAATAAAATTTCTGTTAAATTTTTCAATTGTTTTATGGATTAAGGCAAATGTTGTCAAGAGATGCCTCGATGAAGGACTTTCTATGGGGAAACTGGGCATGTATTCTTTGAATATTCCTTATGATGTGAAGGAATATTCAAAATCTTAATAGCAATCGATCGAGGAAGGGATTGTTAATGAATATCACTAAAAATTAGTAGTATATTCAAAGATCTTCAATGTATAATTCTAATCTAATATACCAAAGGATGCAGCAATAATGTCGATGAATCCATTTTCGCATTTAAAGTAATTAATCTTTAGACACGGATTCTTTTAAACATTTTCTTTCATAAATTTCTAACATGTAACGAAATCATAATTAATAAATCAAATCAAAATACAGCATTCTAATTATGTATAGTATCATTTTCTGTCGTAGATGAATAATGGAACGTTTAAATTAACACGCTTCGGGCACAGTTTCGTTTATAATTTATAACGTTTACTTCGATAAATTTTTATAAATTTATTGTTTTATAATTTTGAAAGAAACTTTTCTTCTAAAATTTCTTTAAAATTTATACTGAAACTGATAAGAAAATTATAAATTAACAGAGAATCCGGGATCGAATACGAGCGGGCAAAAAACCCCCAGGAATTTTTGTATTCCGGATGTATTGAGCCCCATCTTTTCATCCTCGTCGTGGGTTTGACCAGGCCCGTGATGAGGATGGAAAAAAGGAATCACAAAGAGAAAAGGACCAGAACTTTTAAAAAGAAACTTCAAAATCATTGAAAATCTTCCGAAATTAAAACTTTAAAGTCCGAGATTAATTATATTTATTGTTAATGTTTTTTTACAAAATATGATTTTATCTGATTCGAATTGTTACAATGCGCTTTGATCAATTTAAATTTCTTACAACTAAATTTCAGTTTACAACGAGCTAAGAGCTGTGAAGTGTTTAAACTTTGTAGCTCTTAGCTCGTTATAACTTTCTCTAAAACTCTTCCATTATCTTAATATGGGGTTTGTAATTACTTCCCGGATATATTTCCTTTAATTGATAATTTTATTTGATAATTAATTGAAAAATAATTTATATTTACAGCGAGTTATTCGATTAGAAATTTTCATTGGTGATTTCTACAGAAAATTATTTCCAAGTGTTAATTCTCTAATTATTTGATTATAATTTAAAAAGTTCTAATATAAACTTACATATAAACCTCCGAACAACGGCCACTGACAAGAACATACAATACTGTATGGCCGTGTTTGGAAGGTTATTTTGTTCGACGTTCCTGAAAAAATGGCTGCCATTTAGGGATGGTCGTTATTGGAGATTCGACCTTCACATCTTCCTTCAATGTATACACTTCCTATCCTTCCACAAATTAAAATTATGTCCAGTGAAAAGTAATTACAAAATACTTTCTGGAAGACACTTTCCCTTGTATGTAATGTAAGAGGGATCCTTACAAGTAACATATAACAAGAGAAGCTCGCATCTCACAGATAATCTATACAGAAAACTTCATAAACATAAACAGTATAGCGTAACATTATCATACTCTAAATTACATACAATTATAAATAAATTAAATGCAGTGGAACAAACAAATAAACAATAATTTATTACCAATTATAAAGCAGAGAACAAAGAAAACGTAAACAAATTGCTCGACATAAATCTGTAACGCGTTAACTAACTTTTGGACCAGCTTGTATATTTATGTGTCCTTATTTCGCATTTTTAATTACACTAAAAATTTAAAGAATGAAGAATAAAATAACTTTTCTTCTTATTATTTATTTATTTTTTTTTTAAGTAAGCGTAATTAAAGCAAGCAGATTGGTTAGAACTTATCAATGTAGTGGGAAGTAATTGCTGAAAGTGCGTTGTATACGCTGTATATAAATATATATGTATAGACCCTCCTATATAACGTTCTAGTCGTATCGTTGTCAGCATAGGGTTGTTCACGTTTGACAATAGAAGAAAGCAATATGAAATTATTAATTATTTTTGTTTTCTTTACCATTGCTTGCTGCGGTTATTGTTTTAATGAAACTCTGAAGGATAAATTATGCGGTAAAATTTTTTATTATTCTTCAATTTAATAATTTTTGCTTAAATTATTTAAATTTTACTTATAATTTAATTTAAAAAAAAATTATTATACATTTTCACTAAAATGTTCTTTTTAGATGTATAATTAAAAGATATGTAACGAGTGCGCTATTAAATAATAAAATAGCGGGATGATTCATTAATTGTAATTATAGGGATTATAATTTGCACGTGCAAAAACACGTGGGTTTAAGCACACGTGTTTGAACTTTTACGTGTTTTTTTTATTATTATTATAGGAAAATATTTATACAAAAGCTGCTTATATACGCATATTTTTTTATATGTTACAATTATTTTTTGACGTTATAATCTTAATGTATGTAGCAAGTATCCAGAACTTGTAGTAAATTAACCAGTTTTAGATACTACAAAACGTTCCTGTTTCTGCAAATGGCAGCAAAATTATTTTTGGAATACTCTCTCGGATCATATTTACAATATAATTTAATATTTTCTGAAATGATTTTAGTTATAAATTACACTTTAGCAATATAATCCCTATTTAGTTAAAGTAAGTTGTCAGCACCGTGTAATTCCTCCATGTTAACGGTCGATGCAATCTGTTTTATTCTTTTCCAATATGGTGGAAGTTTTATATTAATTTAAACTAATAGTAATTAGTTGCTAATATAAATGTTATATATTTTTAAAATTTATTTTAAAATGCTTAGGAAATTTAATATATTTTTTAGTACATTCCCCCCCTTATTATTTTCTTGTGCTTCCATTTCGCAGCATATAAACCAGAAAAAAGAAAAGAAGTCCTTGAATGTTACATCAAATATACGGATCCAGGATTGATAAATGTTAGTTTATTTATTTATTTACTTTTTTAATAAATTAATAATAAAAGTACAATAATAATAATTTAATCCAAATATTTTGATTACTAAAGTGATTGATAGATGGCGACGGTATACAGTTAAATGGCAAATGACTTTAACGACGAGTTACTTAGTAGCCTAATAATAGCCAAACAAAAAACTTTTGTTTATTTTTCTTAATTATATTTGTTGTTAGTAAAATAAATAAAATACTTTTTTTTTTTAAAACTCGGTGCGATATAATTGTTTATTTATAATAATTTCTATAATTTTTCGGAAATTTCAGTACTCGAGAAGTTTTTTGATGTGTCTATTAGACAATACTGAAGATTCTTTTCTTAAATTGAACGAAATGGCTTGTGATCGAACTTTTACAACTGAACAGGTAAGATTATTTTTGAGGTTTATTTTAAATTAGATAAATTACTTCGATTTATTAATAAACTGAAAGACTTCAAAGTACATGTTTTGCGTACAGAAGTATTATTAAGTAAACAGTTACAGGTTTTTTTGGCATTTACTTTTCAATTACGTAATATTTATCTATGGTGATACTGAAAAAATATTAAAACACGTTATCAAGATGCAAAGTTGATAATTATATAAAAGTGGCTAGAAAAATTCTCATAAATTTATATAAAAGTGGCTAGAAAAATTCTCATAAATTTCGTATAAATTCGGAAGATTTAAACTTTTAAATCAAATTAAATTATTGCAAATGCTGCGCTACCAGTCTCAGTAATGATATATTGTATTATATTCGCTTGATTACTGTGACAAAGATGCGTCTATTTCGTGCTATATCATTGTCGCAGTCTGTTTTGTAACATGGCACTAAACGTTACAAAGTAAATTCTTCGGCTGCAAATTCCATTAATGTTTTATTAATTGCTTTTTTTCCTTAGTTACATTAAAGTACGTGATAATCTAATCAGTTATTTATTAGTTATTATACACATTTACAATCAGCAATTACAAACTGTCGCAACAACCCTTTGACAGTTGCTGATTGTAAATCTGTATAATAAATGATCAAATAATTTCGCTAATCCTCCAGAGGTCTCGATTGCTGTCCACGGCTGGATCAATTATAAAAAATACAGAAAAATGATGGAACCTATTGTATAGTACATATAAGAAAACATTGGTTCATATAATTGCGGTGTTTTCGTGGTTATTTGAACCTCTATAATGGAATTTTTATGTATATATTGTTTTTGTCAAACTCTAACTGAAGAGGGACTGAAAAGAGTCCGAAATACGTTTTGGGTATACTAGTATATAGTTAAGATTAAATTATTGTAACATTTTATTCTATATTGTAAAATTCCGTTTCCATTTTTCCATTGATGGTGAGTTTCTAAACTACTTTTTTTGCGGGAAATAAAATCCCACGACGTCCTGTACACTATTATCAAGTTTGGTGACATTCTGTCCAGTAGTTTTCATTTTATGGCCATTTCAAAGTGGAACTTTAATTATAATCACCCTGTGAGGCTCTGGAGGGGTCCAAACCCTCACTAAAATTCGCGTTAAAATAAATTTTTTATATGAAAACGCGACGCCTACTTTTAAACAATAAAAGAATGTAAGTCCGTCGACCATTTCCGGTTGTAGATCGAATTAAACTTCGATTTTGACCTCTCCCGCGCCCCCGAAAGGTTTCGAATTGTCATCGGGTGACAAGGAGAGACCAATCGGAAAGGGGAATCTGAGGAAAACGGATAAAACCCCGGAAATTCGAGGACGCGACGGCTTCTTCTCCCGAAAGTTTCGAGTGACGGATTTATTGTTGTGTGTGTGTGTGTCTCTCGCCCATCTTCGTCTCCATCTCCCGACCTCGGATCGACATCTTTCCCTCAACGAAAGTCGACCGCATCGTCCCGGAATCGTCGAGACGTGATGGGATTGTTCATTCGCGAACAAGGGACACTCCTTCAAAATGGGACTATCTTGGAAAGGAGAGGAAGACCCAGAGGCCGCAGCCGCCGCAGAATTTCCAAGATCGCTGGAAATCTTGCAAGCTTCTTTCGTGTTTAATAAACGGGTTGTGTTGTTTGTAAACGAGGCATCTATCTCTGACTCAACTGCTTCCACACGTCGTTGATCGTTACCGCTCGACAGTCCAAACGGCAAGGGAGACCATGACGATATATATCACATATTATCATTCATTTAGTTTTTTAAATTTCTCTTCTCCTCGGCCCCCACAACTCTGTACTTTGTAATTTCGTATTCACTGATATGATAAGACCTAAAGATTAAAGAACTGGTTAAGTTATTACGGAATTTAATTTCATTAATGTTATTTGATTGGAAATAGGCCGCATATTTTAAATGGGAAATTTAATGCTGCTTTGTTTTAATTAATAGAACTTTTCCACTTGTGCTGTTAATATTATTGTCACGTAATTTTAGCTTTTACGACTCCAAAAACGGAAACAAAGATAACACATATCAGTAGATACGATCACAGAAAGCGACACTTTCAATAAACATATTTGAATTTAACAAATGGCACCGTTCCTGTTTAAATCATAGAGATAATGAGCGTGCTTAGCTGATAAAACAACTTTAATACAGCTGAATAAGCAATGTCGATTTTATGGACCATTAGATTTCGTCTCCCACGATAGACCTTTCTTATTTAGGACAAATAAAGCCAACATACGACTCCATTCGAAAGCTGATAGATCTACCTGTACGTAGCCAAGAATACACGTCTATCGTAACCGCTCACGAAATGATAATATTTCTATCCGACAAAAAGAAAAATATATAAAATTATTCGTAATAGAAATTTTTTACAAAAATAGAATAAGGACGACTGTAGTCTTTTCCAAATTAGGTTCAATTAGATATGTTTATTGTCAATTTGAGACATACAATTACTTACTCGTAACTTACTTAACTAGTCTAATTACCATTGTTTTTAATTTACAGAAAAGATGGTGTTTTGAAGAAGCGGTGAGTATTCGAAATTTGTTTTTATTATTATTTTTTTAATATAAAAATAATCCAATAATGTCTAAATACGTTTGAGTGGTTAAAAAATTAATCACTTATAGAGCTAATAGTTAAATGTTGGTCGTTTTAAATTCTTACTGCTCGCGAAACAATAAAGTAATGGCGATTTAATATAGATAAACTAAGCCTTTACTAAGGCTTTTAGAGGCTCTAAGCAAATCCCACAGGCACTCGACGTTTATAAACATGTGCTTATCGATACGACTACTAGTTTGCACCAGACCAATGGTCACGTGTAGTTTTTTGGGGGGTTTTCTTCGCGTTATTAAAATATTCATATAAAATTCATATAAAATATTTAATTACAGTAATTTTAAATATTTTCTCTGTAATTAACAATCGAATTTACAAGATAATTTATTATTTTGCAGAGTGTTTTTATTGTGAACTACACAGAAGACGTTCACGAAATGGATAAACAAGCGATCAAAAAATGTTTCGTTTAATATTAAAAAAAAAAACANTTGTTACTTAAGCCAAACGCGTAATCAAGAACCACCCCAAGGCTTCTTTCCTATCCCTCTTTGGGGATCGTAGGGTACGAACTAACACCTTATCAATATAGTAAAAAAATAATAATTTTTTTACCTATAACCCCATGCAAGAAGGAAATTAGGATGACTAATAAGATCAGGAACTATTATAGAATCTTACAATATGTCCACAGTAGTAATTAAAGAGTATTTTATATGATCAAAGTGCGTGGCTGAGGTAGATCAGAATGCATTTTTACACTCCCTAAGCATTAAGTCTAATTCTTCACACCATAATGTCACTCATCTCAAGGTGAGTAGATATATCTTAGTCTCGGTGAGGCAAACCCATAATTAGAAGCTAATTTCTTATTAATGACACAAGTTTTCTAAAATTCAAATATCATGTTTCGCTGTGGGCGTTCATCTTGTTCTTACGAAGGACAATCTACAGTATTATTTCATTTTTATACATTATTTCCTTAATAATTTACTTTAAAAACCACACTCCATTTATAATATTTGCAATTCTTTGAACTACACAATCATAATTTTTTTTTAAATATTATAATATCCTATCGATTTGCAAATCAAATGAATAATAAATCATTGTTTTAGTAGCTAAATCAGAATCAAGAGATTTAATTCATTCTCGACCAGAATTTAAATAAATTTCTCTACCGTAAAGACGTAAGGATAGAGAAAAATAAGGGTTTAACCCCAAAAACACAATTAAAATTTGTATAAAATCTATTTCTGTTTTATTCATTTGAATAAAATTCCACTCATTTGAGATTTTTAAACGAAAATTTTTATTGTTTAACAAGGCAATTCTCTTATTAAATGGCATAATGGATAAAAATCTTTGAATAGTGGTAGTTGGTCGTGGATTAGCGCCCAACTAACGAGATGGCCATTTGGATTTCGGTTTTTTTCACGCGTCAACGCCTAAATAGGGGCCAATTATCCATAGAAAGTCCTCCCTGGAGGCACGTTTGAACTATATATTGCATTGTCTTACACCATAAAACTAAATTAAATCAAACTCTTACTAAATATAAATGCCATGTCAACATAAATGAACTGTAAATACTGATCTATCGATTTAGATTCAACTTTAAAATCAAAATAATTGAGAGGTTCGTTAGAAAAGTCGCGCAAGTAACAGAAAGTAACTTGAATATAATAGTCACTTATACCAACTTTCCACTCACCCTTTTAATTAAAACAAAATTTAAACTATAAATTTCACATTAAATTATCCTAATTCGTACAAAAATTTGTAATTTTATTTCAGAATAAGTCTCCGAAACTTAGTTTTACGAATTTCATTAACAATGCTTCGTGTGAATCAATATCAAAACAATCAAGTAAACTGGTAAATGTTCTCATTTAACTTCCAGCAAACATAAAAGTTTTATGTTTATTCATTTTATAATTAAAAAAAATGTGTATTTTAAACATATATAAACCTTGCTTAATTAGGATATGAAAGAAGTAACATCTATCAATCGTGAGGTCAAAGTTGAGGACGAATTTTGTTCAGATTCATCTAATTCTAGAAACAAAGAAGAATCGACTAAGAGTGGAAAATCCGATGTAACTCAACTTTACAAATTTAAGAATGAAAATTTTTCAGATATGGTACTTTCAAATCTATCTAGTGATGCTAATGTATCTTCTGCATCGTCTGATCCCCATTCTAAGAAATTTTCTAATGAATCTAGTCCACAAGATAGTATTTTGGTAAGAAATAAAAGCCAAGAATATTCGCAAAATGATTCCGAGGAAACATTGAATTCCAGTAAAGAAGAAATGTCTTTTGTAAATCGAAATTTAGATAATTTACAAAATCAAAAGGCGAAAATTATAAGAAATTATCATACAGTATATAATAATAATACTCTTCTTGAAGATCGTAACGAATCTTCAGAAACTTCTTCGAGTAACGAGCATCTTTTAACAGAAGTGAAAGAAAAACTCTCGAGAAAAAGAATGAAATATTTAAATAATAAATCTCGACAAAAATTATTAAAAGATCTGATTTCGATTATAACAGATATTTTAAAAGATGATGGTGATTACAGAATGGAAGAAAGCGAGCCAAAAATCATCACTCAACGTAAGGATCACCAGGAAAAATCGATAGAATATAAAGATTTTGTGGATTTTGATGAAACTGATTCAAAACTTTCATCACTGTGGAAAAAAGAAGGGAAAAATCAATCAAGTGGATTTAATTTTGAGAATTTGGAGAATAATGAAAATCTGGAATCATTTGCATCAATTCAGAAGAATCTAGATAAAACTACGAATGCCATGGAAATCGAAAATAAACAAAATCCATGGACCAAAAACATGAAATATATGTCAAGCGTTAAGGAAAATGGATCATCTAGCGATTGTGAAAATGATACCCAAGAAGAAAGATCAGAATCAAAAGAATTATCCGTTGTATTTCCATTTAGAGATCACAATAAGACATTCCAAATTGGCGATTATATTTTAACAGTCGCTTCTGAAGGATTAAATTCGTCTCAATCTACAAAAAATCAAAACTTGTCAGGAGTAGCCATTAATATTCATCCTAATCCCGATGCCAATGACTCTTCGTTCAACGCGAAGTTTCAAGTAAGCCAATTGGTACCAGAACGTACTTCAATTAAGAATGCTAATCAACTAGAAGATATAGTTAAGCCATTTTCTGATACAAACACAAATATTGTTGTAATGCCATCTTTGAAAGTCGAGACAAAGAAGGAAGAACCTTACAATATCAAAAAGTCTCCAGACTCAAAAATACAACCCGAGCGATTCACTTCTCCGGATAAAAAATCGAGTCTTTTGTTCCGTATGCAAGATGTTCTTTCATTAAGAGAATACGATACACAACCAACAGTTATCGCTGTTCCTGCACAAGATCAATCGAATAAGTTTCCTGAACAGACAGAACGAACCGATATAGCTGCTATAGTAATCGCTCCAGGAAGAAAAAACCCGAGCACGCAGATAAAACACTCGAAGAACCCACAGGAGAAGAAATGGAGCAAATTTGCACAAGACGTCATCAAAATATTACCTTCTTCTCTCACGGATAAACCCATTGTCATTATTTTTCCATCAAACTCGGATGAATTTAACCACAAAAGTTTTCTGGAAAATGCGAAAAAAGTTACACCACTTGTCTTTGTTCCACCAGCAGCACAGTTTTCTGAGAGAGAAATTATTGGAGGAGAGGTTTCTGAGAACTTCTCAACAAATATAAATCAAGCTGTCATACCTACTATAGTAGTTATGCCATCGAGCTCCAAGCATACTTTAGTTAAAGTGGATTGCGCAGAGCCGTTTAAGGTATCGACAAAGAATTCATCGTATCCATCTATTCAGAGTCTTGATTTACAAGAATCGAAGTTTTCAATCACACAGAATCCGTGTCTTCACGAAGTATCATCAAAAAATCAACCTTTCAAAGATTCGCTTCTACTTACAGCCGAACCTCGCGAAGGTCAAGTTAGACAACAAAATAATAAACAAGGATTAGTCAGTCAAGCTCCAAAACGCGAGTCTCCCGTAAATAAGTCATACTCGCCCCCGAAAATTAATGAGATACAACAGATTAAAGAGCCAAAAATGAAGTATGCCATGCCAAAAACTAGTAAGAAGAAAGGAATGGATATCTGCTATTACGGTCACGAAAAATGTAATGATATTCACGTTTACGCTCACGTCCTGGTGGATGTTCCGAAAAAGGACGAATTGGCAGAATTATCTCTTCACGAAAAAACTGACGAGAAACAACTGCGTAAACTTACAATGCAGAAGTTTCCCAAATCAAAAGCAAATAAGAAAGGTATAAAGATTTGCTATTACGGTCACGAAAAGTGCGATGATCTACACGCACCATCTTACGTAATCGTGACGACACCGGAATTCGGAAAGAAAAAACCGGAAGGAATTAGTGGAAGAATCTGTGAAGATTCGAGTCCAAAAGAGAAATCGAAGAAACCTCAGGAAGTTACATTCGGCCAAGCCAACGATAAGTCTTCAAGTTCGGATGATCACGATGACGACAACGATAATAAGAGACGTAAGAAACGTGCTAAAGAAACCAAATCAAAGAAATCTCAAACAAAGAATAAAGGATGGTTTTCCTCATTTAAAAAGTAAACGTGCCACGGTCACACTGAAAAATTCATTTTTTCTTCAATCCTCTTAGGAAATGTTGGCGCTATCGATTTCTTTTTGTTGCTTCTTGGGTCACTAAATTCATACTAACGATTAAAATGTATAAAATTAATATAAATACAATAAAAAATATTTAAACTTCTCGAACGTAGTGTACAATTTTTAAGAACATACTATAATTTTAATTCTGTTGTAAGAGAGACATATATAAAACTGTACAGAAAACATCGATTTTATAAACTAATAAAAAATCATTGTTTACAATTTGTAATTTTATAAATTTTGATATAATCTTAAATGCATTTTTCGGGGTTTCGGACCTGATCCGGAATCTCGCGGTATTCACATTTAACTAAAGTTTTCGAGCTAATTCATAATTCTTTCTCGGGTTCAAAGAGACATTCGAATAATTTGAATACATACGCGAATAATATATCTAGTATTACAATGTCCATTCGATTAGAAATCACATAAATTAAATAACATTAAATTGCAATAAATACTGCCCAGCGATCCTAAACCCTTCGCTCGAAATGGAAGGCGATTTGCAATGAATTAAAAGAACTTTTTAAATGACGGCATAATTTTCAACTGTATGTTAGGAAGGATTACTTTTTACACTTAGTAAAAGGTAATCTCCCTCTAAGGAGGGATTACCATTTACACTTAGTAAATAGACCAATTGGCGTAGGTGGCAGCCAGCGCTTTTGACCCTGGCCTCGAGACGTTGACGCTTTACCTTCTTCTGGTGAGCGTATCTGCAGTTTGTCTACATCAGCGCTTTCCAAAGTGGAGTGCGCGTACCCCAGGGGGTACGCAAAGTAATACTTGGGGGATGCTAAGTATCACTTTGCGTATGTTTACAAATTATGTTTACAAATATTACAAACGTCGCAAGGTGCGAGAATCGAATCTCAAAATTTCAAAAACTAAAAATAAAAAAACGATGGATAATTATATGAAAAAAATTTCAAAATTTATTGTCGAAAAATTAACACTAATATGTAAAATATTACTCGTATAGATTAGCCTATAAAGCAGCCAAAGGCTAAGTCTACTGACGCAGCCACGTCTACGAAACAAGTTGACACTTTAATAATATTACTCCTATGGCTTAGGTCTATGATAATTCGCAGAAATCAATAATTCTTAATAAAATAAAGTGTTTTTTCGTAACGACCGCTCACTCTAATAAACGAATCAATATTTATCGGACTGCGGGACCGTTTTCCTCATTATTCATAAAGGCCCGTAACATATACAAGCCAGTACTTTCAACGATGCATTAGACAAACGATTTTTGTCGAAAAGAAGAATCCAACAAAAGTTTTTAACACGAGAACAAACATTTTTTAAACTTTCTTCTTACGTGTCTTTTCATTAATAAACATTAAACAAAAGGGAACATAAATTGATTTAAAACAAATATTAATTTTATAACTTTTCGGGAACTATAAACTATTCAAATTATAATTTTGTATTGCGAGATTCTACCGTCGTTCCTTCTAATTCTAATCCCGTTTTTTTTATCTTTTCTCTTACTATTTCCTTATTTTAGTTTAGTGTTCGAGCGTATCCTAACTCTATGCGAATTGATTATAGCTAGTGTTGTCTGTGAAGACGAGTAAAAGGCTCGAGACGAACTCCTGCAATGATCCGTCGAAATCCCACTCTTTGCGGACAGAGATGACGANTTACTATTTCCTTATTTTAGTTTAGTGTTCGAGCGTATCCTAACTCTATGCGAATTGATTATAGCTAGTGTTGTCTGTGAAGACGAGTAAAAGGCTCGAGACAAACTGGTGTAATGATCCGTCAAAAGCACTCTTTAGAAATAATTATATATAATAAATAGAGATTTTATTATAACATTCATTTCTGACTTTGAAAGAATTAAAACAATCGTTTCTGCATTATAAATTTACAATTCAGATTAGAATAGGAACATTTCTTCCTTAATGCAAGGTGTGTTTTTACAACAGTCGCTATTTTCCTTTGCAGAATGGATAATTTCAAAGAATCGAAGAAGTGGCACCTAACTCGGGCCGTGCCTAAGACGAGGCGTCCCGGGATGACGCCTCGTCTTAGCCTGGTGTCATACGGGTGCTTCCGAAAGATGCGGAGGAGGAGTGGCGCACATCCAACGTCAAACGGGTGGTGGTGATAACTCCGGACGACAGCGCCTCGTCTCTCGTCCGTTATCTGGAACGGCGATATCCCGAAGTTGCGGAATGGACGGTGGAGACACGGCCACGTCAGACCGGACTACAAAGGTGACCTTTCACCTGAATTTTTCTCTTTCACCCGGCTACGACTTAATCAACTGGACTCGACTTTCCATCCCAATTTACGGACGGATTCTTCGGCACCATTCGAGATTGGTTCTTCCACCTCGGTTAAATTGCATAGAACAACGAAAGTGGCAAAAGTAACAAAGAAACATTAAGCAGTGTTCTCGTGTTTAATAAAAGACTGCGTTATTCTGTTGTTTAAACAATTATAACTGGCCAAAGAAACTTATAATATTTCGAACGATGTTCTACTTGTAAAACATTTCACCACAGAATAATACACTATGGGAGGAAATTATTTCCACGTTAAACTTTAACCAAAACCGCACATTTCAGTCGATGTATGTCCAAAGCAGAATTATAATTACTTCAACAATTATAATTGTACATGGAATTTTCATGATTGTACATAAATTTTTACATTTAATAAAACTTATTAATTATTTGTATGGTTTATTCTTTCGCTGATGGTATAATTGTCTGTCATTTGCAGCTTTTTCGACACGTTCCTGTTCTACTTTGTGCGCCAATCCCAATCTTGACCTTAATTTGCTTGCATAGTTCTCCCTAATATCGTTACTAGTTCTATTCGGTTTAGTAACTATATCAAATGGGTATATATATCGTGGCCATACAAAAGGTAGAATGGGGTTTCGTTTATTGTCGTATGCGCTGTCGTATAGTAGGCAAAGAGTGCGTAAGGGTTCATTTCATCCCAATTGCACTGGTCTTTGTCCACGAAACGCGTTAAAATATCTATCAACGTTTTGTTTAAGCGCTTCGCCATTGCATTGCATTGTAGATGATACGCGGTGGTGCGAAGTCTTTCTATATGCAGCAAATCGCATACTTCTTTTATCATTCTCGAAGTAAAAATTTGCGCCGCTATCGGTTAATGATTGCTTGGGCACCGAATGTCGCGAGACAATCAGTACGATGAATGCTTTAGCCGCAATATGTGGTAATGGCACTGCTTCTGCCCATCTAGAAAAATGGTCCACAAAAACTAGAAGATATTTATTGCCATTGCTAGGGTGGAAAAAGAACCTCGAATATCTGAAGCTGTTCTCTCGAATAGCCTTTCTTTCGGTAGATGATGGTTCATACGGAGTCTTATGGCTGAACACCTTTACTCCGAGAGACTCGTGGGTGATCGCTACGCGATCGAAGAGCCGGCCTTATAGAATGGCCTAATCACGTGTGGAGAAAGAATGCCTTCCGGGAGGACTTTTATGGGAAACTGGCCCCTATTCGGGCGTTGTGGACGTGGAAAAAACCCGGAAAACTTCATACTGCCAGCCCGTCCGAGCGAAGCGCAAACCCACGGCCGAACTCCCAGTGTTCATGGTCTAGTCCGAGTGGACTAGACCCTGAACACTGGGAGAACACTCGAGTGCGGATACTAAGACCGCTCGGCCACTGGTGGTTCGAATAGCCTTGTTATCTTAGGAAATGTTTGTTAGGGTATTTGGTGTCCATGCAGGTGATCCATGCAGACGTCTTCTCATATCGCATTCTTGACATGTCCGACAATAGTTTTTGAGGTCTTCGTTCATATCGGGCCAATAGAACTGTGTCTGTAGTTTCTTCCTGAACTTTTTCACTCCCACGTGTCCCGAGCTCGAAATGTCGAGGAACAATTTCGAGACATACTCGACCATTGTTTTGGAGATAACTAGTCGGTCCCAAATTTCGTTTCTTTTGGGGATGGGTTTTCTGTGATACGATGTTTGATCCGCATGTAAGTAATAATCCTGTTATTTGTAATCAGACTTTGTTCCCGCGGTCGAAGCGCTTCCCGCTAGGCATCGTCTAATTTCATTACAGAAGTGGTCTTTTTGTCGCTACTCTCTGATCGGTGCCTTACTGTATATATGATGCGTCTCGAATTAATTGAAGCTATTGGTACTCGACTTACGCATCAGCTTTTGTGAGTGACCAGGAAAAGCCCCGCGTTAGTTAATCATTCGATCTGTTCTTTCGTTTCCCGTTTTCTTTTGTTTTAAAGAATGCGTCTATTTTAAATTCCTTATTTGTATTGGTTCGTGATCCTAATCGGTATTTTGCCGCGTTGTCACGTTTTTACCAAAATACCTGCGATAAACGCTCCTTCTTTATCCGGGGCACGAGGTTCGACCACGCCCGTCTGGTCAATAGCTTCTCCTCACACGTTCTTTTCCACAATGACTTCCGTCGCGAGAAAACTTTATCAGCGTGTCGTCATTCGAAGTATCTCTTTCTCTTTTCTTATCTGTTGACCTTTGGTTTAAAATTTCTAAACTCCTTTCCTGTTCATATATTAGCTATCGGCTTCTTTTCCTATTCTTTTCATAATTGTCATTTTTAGCATTATTCCTCGGATGACTAACATTATTGTAAAAACTTGCTAGTCCTCAGAAGATTAATTTTAACGCGCTTGTCTTCTCTTCCCGCAATTTGCTTAAATATCGGAAAAAGAATCTTGATATTAATGTAACGGCTGTGCCTTTATCTATCGTAACTCGCTCTCTTTTACTTTCTATTTCACCCACTAAGGTGCGGAGGAGTAATTCTCCGCTCTTTGATCTCTCGATTTCCGCTAATGGGATCGCATCGCTCGAATTATCTCTGGTTGATTCAAAGTCGCGAGGTTGTTCTCTAATTTTTTACCGACATTACACTATCGCCGCGAATATCTTTCGAACTTTCTCGATTTTCTTTCCTCTGATTATCTGCTTGCCTGAGGTTTTCCTCGGGGCAGATTAAAGCTAAGTATTTACTGGCGATCGCGCTGATCGGGTCACAAAGATTCGAGGCATTTCAACAATAAGATATTCGATTTAATAAATCTTATAATATAATCGAGATGGGTTGATAAGAATAATAAGCGCAGAACCCAAACGGTTAGAAGTCGAAAGCTGAAATTTGGTACAAAGTTAG